TCCGCTCATCCCTAACCAGCCAAGTTAGTTAATCCGCCGTGGTCGCCTTTCGACTTTCTAGGGGTTTGATGGCTTTTCTTCGCAGTCTTGTAGGCGTAGGTATAACAGAAACTGTCAAGGCAGAAGGCGCACTGCTCGACTGGACCCCGGCTAAAAGTCACTTAGGTACTCTTCGACTGAACGACGTAGCATGGACTGTGAAGGTTATTGAAAGCCGTCGTTGCCTGTTTGCGTTCCCCACTTACTCACCTACTGAAGTGGAGGATGAGTTCTGCCGAAATTTTTCTAGCCTTCTACAGGCGTGAGTTCCGTAGCTAGTGATTTCCATACCCGAGTTGGCAGGTCAGTTCAGGGGGAGCGTTCTTGGGTGACACTTTCGGGATCTCATTCGAAAGAACAGATAACTTCAATTTTCTGTTACAACTGCATTCATGCTGCCATCTCTTTCTTGGCAGCGTTAACTTTAAACATAAAGACGGGCACTGTCTGGTGTGGCGTTCACAGGCGTCAAATCGACGGTGGACACGGACCACTTCGCTGTCAGTTGTTACTGAAGAGGATCTAAGAAGGATCGCCACCCCACCTACAGCATGTATTTGGAGGTTAATCACGCGCTCATCCGAGCACGCGCTTATCTGTAGCCAAATGGATTTAGAAAAACTCTTACTTCAAGACAGCTCCGATTGTAGTTCAACTACGAGAATACTGGGCCATGAGCTCGGTTAGGGGTGGGAGCAGCTCGAATGCAGGCTGACAGTGTTTGAGCAGTGACAATGGGCGTTATCAAGCACCGAAAGCTAGATGGACGGGGATTGCGGTGGTGACAAGCAGTAGGCACTTAAATTGGCCGATATAAGAAACTGGGCCATAGCTAGTCAGACTAAAGATGAACGGGACACGTCTTCGACTAACATGCAGAGGTAATGACCAAAATGATGGGCGGGCCACTTCGGGGAGTAGTTCAAATAGCCTGTGCCCACTGTTTCACTGCACAACGACCAGTTAAACTGGGTGAACTGCATCGTTAGCTAGCGGTGAGGAGTCGTATACGATTACCGTTGATTAGCCCCAACCACGGTTGATCCGTTCGTAGGGAAAGGGGATAAGTCCCACTGTAATAACCGCAACGAAATCAGTTTGGTGAACTTATTGTCAGAGGCTCTGGGTTCCGTGGTTACAAGACGTCTCAGTGAAGCTCGGGACCGTAGAACGAAAAAACACCAGACAGATTTCCCTTTAGGTGGCAAAAGTATCGAAGCATAGGTCGATCAGGAGTTTCAATGTCCCACAGGCTAGTAGACGTGCATGCATTCAAGAATATGACTGCATCTGATTGTCTCGACCGAGAGGTCTTGTGATAATTCTACCCACTGGAGGAAGCTCTGGGTAATCACACCACCCTACCGAGGGCTTCGTACAGGAATACCTGTAGGGATATCAGAACCTATGGTGGGTTATCAGATGAGTCGTGTACGTCGATTGGTGTTTGTCAAGGATGTCCACTTCCATTCTTGTTCAAGTCCATCTTGGATGTGGTTTCAGAAGTCTCCGTCTCACATTCTGATTTCGTAGGGATTGCGCCTGCCACATGAAAATCCTTGGTATATTTAGAGTACGCGAACGACAGAGTTCTGTTATTTGAAGATACTGACAGGATACAGCTTCCTAGAAATTTCTAACTGCAGTTCGAGAACGTTAAGGATGTGTTTCTCATCACCCAAGTGTGAACCTTTGTTCCTTGGCTGGTCTTCTCTGGTGCCTTATTTGACGACAGAGGGGGGAGCGACTGACTGAATTGACCAAACCACTTACCCCAGAGGTCGGATTAGCCACAATGGGCCAATTGCCAATGAAATTTTGGCAGGGATGTAAAAGGCTCAAATAGCTGTCGCCAACTTTGGGCAGTTGTAGGCTCAGCATGAAACCCAGTTGACCAATAAGGACTAAGCGCACTGAGGTGCAGTTCGCTCTGTCTTACCATGCCTCTGGAAAGCATGGTCATTTAAGGAACAGTATGCGGGGAATCTCAAGGTGCTCAACAGCCATTGCCTTTGCATGATAAATGGTGGGTTGTGTCGTGCAAGTTAGGCCGGAATTTCAGGGCGAATAGCAAGACCAGTCGATGGGGTTGTGAACCTTTTATTGGCTTCATTGTCTGGGGCATGTTGCTCGTACTTAGTAACCGTCTGTTCTGTCATACAGTGTTAGCTGATTTATGTATGTTGTGAAGAAACGGTAAGGGCGACCAGACAAAGAAGTCATCATTCTCCAAAGTCACTGGCTTCTGCCCTGTGCTGTGTTAGGAAACGAAGATTTCCTGCCCGGGGCCCACGTTTTAAGAGAAGTTGGTTGTTTGAAATCCTGTGGCGTGTTTAGAACTGATTTCATTAACAGGTAAGCGTCCATATGTAACTTTTGCCTTAATCTTAACACTGGACTTCATCAATGTGCAATTCCTCCCCCTCTGGCTACCCTCTTCCCCGTTTTTCTATCTTTCACCTTGGCGCCCTAACGTCCAGATGTGGGGTGTGACAACACGGACCGTTACCCGCTCTAACTCTGATTATAGCCTACTAACCGGATGACCAACTAATATAGGCCCATCAGCCATGAACTAGCGTGTCACACAACGTTTCTGTTGCCACAGAATGGCGGACAACTCTAAAGAATGTGTTGGATTGTCTTTAACCTGTCAGAGGAGCAAAACTCCACATGCACTGTGGTTCTTCAGGATCTTTCACAAAGTCAGACGCCCGTCTGGACCACATTCACACAAATAACATGAGAACCTGTTAAGAATTTCGTGGATACGACCGCCTTCTCACCCCGCACAACGCACCGCGAGGTGGCCAGAGTCGGCAACTACCAGAGAAGCTGCCTCATAGAAAGACAGATGGAGCATTTTGGATGGTGATTCCAGCAAAGACTACCTAGTGCCTTAACCGCATCCCTAGGACGGCCTCAAGTCTGATGGAGAACCAATTCCCCGGTGGCTCATTTTGTGGTAGAACGATCCCATCTACAGCTCAAGGCTGTGCTTTCACGACACCAAGCTTGAATATGCAGTGGGTTCAATCATGCCTGCTGCTGTTCGACTGAAATCAACGAATCTTTCCGTTCACCCCATTTTGCAGAAAAAATCGTGCGTCTGATGGTTGTAGCATTATTCATCTGACGACTGAACAGGTCACTGAAAGAAATGTGGAGAGAAGTAGTGTTTTCTGTAATCCGTGGAAATGGATTCCAAGGTACTGTCAGTGATTCTACTTTTCATCCGGCTAATTTTGAAGGTTGTCCCATCGCAAGTGATACTCTTTCTCTGTGAAATTACCAGCCAGGGGATGGTCCTGCTATCATGAAATGTCTTGATGACCAACCGAGCAATATGGGCAGATCACACTCACCTGCGCAGCGAAAAGCACTTTCGGATCAGACCATCATTTTGCCGGAACACTTTGAAACGTGCAAAAAGTGTAACGTTCTGATACTTGTGCCACCGTTTGTTTTTTCGTGGTGGCAGTGTTTTTCCCGGCAGCGCAAGCCTTTGAATTCTACTCATCATCATGACACGACCTTTCTTGAACAGGTCATCCTATTTTGTGGATTGGCGCCAGTGCTCTATGTGTGTTCTCTTGCAGCGACGTGCCGGTGATAACATTTTTTACTTCCTTTTTTCATGGTACTCAAAGTTTCTGTTTTCCATAATAGATAGGATGCACACCAATCGGAAACGAGAGGAACAAGGTAGAAATTCCATTATATTGACTTCAAAACCATCTGGAATGAAAATGTAGAATATTTACAGATAACCAGGGGTAGCTTCATTCAGGATGCCTATTGGGGGAGTTAAACTAATGGAGAAAACATTAGGATTTTACTTCCGACTGGTAAAATATCAGAGTCCCCTTGAAACCGCTGGAAGATAATGAGGTGCAACGGTAAATAATTTGCTGAAATCAAAGGCCTAAGGCTATACAATATCTACCTTCGGTGCTCTCTCCATAGTCTGAGCAAACTTGGATGACCGAATGTACATGGTCAAACATCCAGGCCATTCGGTACGTCCTCATGTTACATCGTGTTACTTGTTCAATATCATGTGATCAGCTGGCTTAAGCATTCTGGCATACTGACACCATTCATCAAATATATGATTCATGTCTAATTATCTCACCGTATTCTTTCTTAGTCGAATAACTATGGGTATTTGCAAGCGTGAAAAATTGGTTGTTGACTTCTGAGTCTGTTACGATCGCGTGTTACTATTCCTTAGCAAGCCGGAGATCACCGACCTAAAGCCACTTCACAAGGTCCGTGAAGAACTTAAAATTAGCGCTCAGTTCGGCTTAAGGAAAATCTATTTCTCTGCATGTACGCGGATATATTTGTTCTTTTATGAGGTTACATCTGACATGTCACTTTACTGCATTAGTCAAGGCATACAATCTTCGAGCACTATTACATCGGTATTTAGATTTTAGGAGTCGTCCTCGGCAAACGTCTACTATATACAGTGTAAATTTGTACCTTCAGCATGTTCCTCCACAAATGCTAAGTGATGTTTGTTTCTGATCATTTGTTAAAGGGTCTTAATGCTAATCGAATTTTTCCTTTACAAAAGCTGCTAACTGATACTGTTTCAAACAAACGTTTGTAGCTCATGTTGCGTATTAAACACGGCATAGATTGGCTGCATCCTCTATCACAACTTTTAAAAACAGATAGTAATGTTCTGGCCTTATCAACTGCAAGGTTGAATGCAAATCAGTGGTCTACTCTTTGTCCCTTAGAACTGATGCATTTACCCATGGAGACTTTTTTCAGGATTGTAACAGATCTAGATTCTTCGAACAAAGATCTTTAGTAGACAGAAGTGGTTTTGCTCACAGTTTGGACGAAGTGGCATTGTATATTGTTTATATTAGCAACTTGATTGGACGTTTTCCTTTGCCCACCATTTGAATTTTGACTGTTTGAAGTCGTGAAATACTGCAGAGTAGATGCCAGGCGACCAGAAGTTACTAAGGGAGTTCAGTGGTATCAACAAGATATATGTTGTCAAGCGAGGTAGAAAGTTGATAGTACAATTCACAATTTTAGATGGGAGACACGAGACAATTCATTGCGAGAAGATTGCGAAGCGGATTCGTGCGCTCTGCTTTGGTTTGAACGAGTCATATATTGATGTGGTAAGTGTGCTGAAGATTGTATAAATCCATTTGGGGTAAGCTTTCATCCCTACTTTATCTACTGAGTTGTGTGCTTATATGATGATCAGAATTAGAAATGCCACACCCTTTCAACCATTCATAAATGATCTCCATGCAAGACCCCGCGTCTATCTATTTTCCAAAAGCATGAGAAATTGAAGGACTATGGTTAGGACTTAGGATCTAAGGATACTGCATGGCTCAGGACTCAGTTTTCCTCAACCTATTGAGTCCTGATATCGACCGTATGGAAATAACAGCAGAGGCAAACGCCGTGATACGCTTGGGAGGCAACTTCTGGTCCCGACCCTTGATATGTTCGTCACGGTCTGGAAAGTACGTTAAACCTCACTTTGAGGTGTTCAAAAAGACAACCCCTCTCTATTAAAGAGAAGCAAGGTGCAGAGAAGAGTTACAGTTATCTGACTGGTAAGCGAAACATGTTTCAGACTCCTTGGTCTGTTCACCTTAAGTTGTGGAGGGGAAAAAACGACATAAATCCTGCCTTGAACATCACACCGAGTTGATGGCCCTAAGAGGATATTATCGATCCGAAAAAGTCTCAAGACAACATCACCGGAATACTAAAGAGAGATTTAGACCTAACTTCTCTTGCTGGGCGTGTGCGTGATGGATTGTCCTGCCGGTAGAGGTAACCACATAGCATTCGGTTGACTCAAACAAATACTGGATAGATACGTTAGCACATGTGACCTAGTAACTACATACGTCAGTAGCAATCGAGTTTGTTTGTCCGTTTCTCTGCTACCTCACCTTAGCATCTGTACTATGGACCGTACTCTTCATATTACTACTGGTAACCTCCAACACTTTCCATGCTGATCATTTTCCCTACCTATCCGGTCTTTCGCACTCCTTTTCGAATAATGCCTTGCACATGCTCACCCATTAAGAGGTTGCATAAAGCTCAACGGTCAGCAGTTCCGTTGCTTCCCAAGACAAACCAGCGGGCAAATTCCAAAGGAACAACTTCAGGTCAGTCATTGCTTCCAAAGTTATAAGCAGATGAAATGAAGAAGCCTCTGCAACCAACGAAAGAGTATAAACGAATGGAAACAACCGGACCTCAAGATCTAGACGCAAAAGTACAAAAACTACAAAATTTTTCTTAGATTCATAGCTCCTCTCCTACAAGCGAAGAGGCTAAAAAGATACATTGATACATTCTCACCGTTGTACCATCCATGTTTCCATTTACTATGATTTATTTACATAGGAGGAGAGATTAAGACCACTGAGATGCCAGCAACTAAATACTTTTGCTGCAGTAGTAATCACCTTTAACGGTTTAGTGTCCGTCCATTGTAAACATAGTTTTGTTGATGGAATAAACTGAGAAGCCTAAATCATGGGCATGTATGTATCATCTTACCAGATCAGTAAGTTCTTTAATAAATGTATAAACCATAGATGAAGCTTATGCTTGCTTATCAGCCTGCAGGTAATACAGTAATGCAGTGCGTAAGTACTAAGTTTATCGGGAAAAAACTTTTGCTGACAGTAGTATAATCCGAATAGCGTTACCGATAAAGGAAAGCAGTGCGGTACTAGTGAGCCGTAAACCGTCATAAAACTACTGACTTAAGACCACATAACTTCTGGTTTTTGTTTCCGTTTTTGGTTGGATTGCATCAAAGTCAAACCTGTTGGTTTGTTGTAGGTTGTTTGATACCAGACATTTCAATGTAAGCCATGGACACATGGGCAAATACAGGCTGGAATTTATCAAGGAAGTGTTTACAACTGGGTTAACCTTTTGTATCCTGATGTCTAAGTAATTGAAAAGAATCTTGGCTCTTCGGTATGCATAGTGGACAGACGTCATTACAAGCTGGTTCCGGCTACTGTCATTGTCATATTTATATTGTTAACGTTTGCCTATTTGTTTGTAAGCTGATAAGTTTAAACCATTCTCATCAATAGGAGGCGGTGACAAAGCGCGTGGTTTCTGGTTTGTATCCAGGTGTGACAACTGTTGAGCTGGATAATCTGGCTGCTGAAACTTGCGCAAGCATGATCACCAAGCATCATGAATACGCCACTCTTGCTGCTCGGCTTGCTGTTTCAAACCTTCATAAAGAGACAAAATCTCGATTTTCCGATGTTGTGGAGGATCTATTTACTTACGTAAACCCTCGGACGAAGAAACATTCACCTTTAGTATCAGAAGATTTGCGGAATTTAGTGAAATCTAATGCTGAGCGGTTCGATAATGCTATTGACTATCAGCGAGATTACACATATAACTACTTTGGATTCAAGGTAAGTCGCAAGCAACTGGTGCCATCGATTTGCCAGATTATTGTTTCAGGATTAGTTATAGTTGTTGGTCTTGTTCTTTTCGCATTTGCATCTACTCGTACTTTGAAATATTATTTGCAGTACTGTATTTGAAGCAGTGTATAGCTGCAAAAAATAACCTATACAGATTGATAGTAAAGTAACGAACAGTTTATTTTGTCTGCCTACTAATGTAGTAGCACCAGTTTGCTTGGTTCGGAAAAAACCGAACAACAACCGAACCAACAAATTGAACGGTTTGATTATGGTTTGCAGTGAAGCTGTTCTCATAATGTTGGGAAAGTCAAACGCAACCTTCTAGCTTTTCTCATCTTCATGGCAGTCGTTTGAAAAATACCGAAGAGGTTGTTCCTAAGTAAAACTTGATACATTTTGGATACAAATCTAACCAGTTGCGTGTTGGCTTACCTCTATCAAATACCACTGGATTTAAATCATCAAGATAATTTTTAAATGTGATCGGAGAATGTATTTTTTCATGTGGTGTTACATGGTTTTTTTCTGAATATAACTTACCTGGTCATTCCAGGTTATAATATTTGGGATATAGTGCGAATTTTGTGCATTCAAAAACTACTTGGAGTATATTTTGCGCTCTGTATTTTGGAACTTTCTTTTGTAGACCTTGGAGAGATCATATCTCCTAAAGATAAATGGTAAAGTTCATGAGCGTCCGCAACACATGCTGATGCGAGTGTCCATTGGGATACATATGTCTGACATCGATAGTGCTATTGAGGTAAGCTCAAATGCGATGATATTCATAATCATTTAGACGTATAATCTGATGTCAGAAAAGTGGTTTACTCATGCTTCGCCCACACTTTTTAACGCTGGAACACAGAAACCGCAACTTTCAAGTTGCTTCCTCATTACAATGAAGGATGATAGCATTGAAGGTATATACGATACCTTGAAAGAATGTGCTATTATATCTAAAAATGCTGGAGGAATTGGACTGAATGTGCATAACATTCGCAGTCTTGGCACCTACATAGCTGGCACAAATGGCGAATCTAATGGCCTCAGTAAGTCTGTCTGCTTGCAGTTATACCATATAAAATGTTTAATCGTAAATGTAGGTTGCCGATGTTTCGAAATACTTTCATTTGGCTGTGTTTCTAATTTCTAGTTCCAATGCTACGCGTTTTCAACAATACTGCACGTTATGTTGACCAAGGAGGTAATAAGCGTCCGGGGCATTTGCTATGTATCTAGAACCTTGGCATCCTGATGTATTTCAGTTCGTTGAAATGCGTAAAAATACAGGTGCCGAGGAGACTCGAGCTCGTGATTTGTTTTTTGCTCTTTGGATACCTGATCTGTTTATGCACCGCGTTGAAGCTGACGAGAAGTGGACATTGATGGATCCTCATGAATGTCCAGGTTTACCTGAACTTTGGGGGGAAGAGTTTCAGGCGTTGTATGAACGGTATGAACAGGAAGGTCGTGGCAGACAAACGGTCAAAGCCCAAGAGTTATGGTAAGAAATCTATTTATTCTGATTCTAGTTTTCACAAACATCCTAAAATACCCGCAGCATATTTTATGTTTAAACTGACAAAAACAGATTTCTACTAAATGTTTTTATTCTCTCTGAAAAAAACATTTCGCTATTCCTTAATATTAAGGTCATTCAAATACAATAACGTTTCGAGAGGATATATGCAGTCTGAATAACTGATGCACGTAGGCTTCACCGCAGCTGTGATACTGAAGCGAAATTAGATGACTTTCGATTGTCAGTGTAGAGTAGTCAGTTACACTGAAGATCATCGATCTACTGATATTGGTATGCATATGAATGCATTGTTTTTGTTATATTTGACGTTTACTCTAACATTTAACAAAGTGTACGCTTCTGGATTTGCTTACTAGTAATATCTCGTTGCGGTGATCTTTTTTCATTCACTGAATATTCATACGCTTATTTATTTAAAAAATAGGTATGCTATTATTGAAAGCCAAATTGAAACAGGCAATCCATTCATGCTATATAAAGATGCATGCAATCGCAAATCCAATCACCAACACTTGGGCACAATTCGCTGCAGCAACCTATGTACAGAAATCGTTGAATATTCCTCACCCGACGAAACGGCTGTCTGCAACTTGGCCTCCATTTCTCTCGGAAAATTTGTTGACTGCCAAAATCGTACATTTGATTTCACCAAACTTCAGGAAGTCACAAGAGTTATCACTCGGAATTTGAATAAAGTCATTGATGTTAACTTTTATCCAGTTGAAGAGGTATGTAAGTCTAAGCTTTCGCGATATAGTTAGATACTGGGATTATCTCAGTTTTCGTCAAAAAAAATCAGTTACTAAGAGGTCTCGAATTTTCTTTACAGGCCCGCAGGTCAAACATGCGTCACCGACCGATTGGTATTGGGTGCAAGGCTTGGCAGATACGTTTTGCCTTCTAAGGTATCCATTTGACAGTCCTGAAGCAGCAGACCTGAATAAACGGATATTCGAGACTATATACTATGCAGCTCTGGATGCCTCATGCCAACTAGCAGCTGAACTAGGGAAGTATGAGTCATATGAAGGTTCCCCAGTCAGTAAGGGTATACTGCAGCCTGATATGTGGGGTGTAGATACGGAGAAGTTGTCTATAATATCTGGTTTAGACTGGAGTGGCTTGCGGGCTCGAATCAAACAGTAAGTACTCAGGTTCACTTTGTTATAATCACAATTTTACTTTTGTACATGAGAAAAAGCTGTTTTCATGCGTCTCGTCGAATTAATTATTAGACCATAGATTTCTATTTCAAACACGGTACAATATGAGCAGCAAGAAATCCGAAAATGCGATGTCACTATGACGACAAAAGTGATTATTAGAAGCTAAATGAAGCAACAGTCTCAGGATGCACTGAAATGGCTTCTGCTGCTGGGTATATTGCTTTTCGAAAGTGGTAAACAAAATAAATGGTTTAAATTTTGAGGCATATGTATCTCAAATCATAGTCATATTATTTTCCGAACTCCATCCAAGGTGTCATGATATAATAAGAGGCATTAAAGCAATGCATACATCCTTATGGTTCCACCTGGTGGGCTGACAATATTCACTTACTGTCATTTCTAGGACAGGTAAACAGTGATCGGTAAGAAAGCTGCTGGAATAGCATACGTATTACATTTCCTTCCCTCTAATACCAACCTGTCTAGATGAACTAACCTACTGAGCAATAACCTTCATGCACCAGTACTCCACTAGATCTCAGGATTACATTCTGGTCTTACTACGAGATTTCAGTTTTCCAAGGATACCCTCTGAAGATAGAAAAGGTCCATCATCACTCCATAGGAACTACTCTCTCAGGTGGGGATAACTGTGGACTCCCGGGAGATTTGCGCGCTAACTTTCAGTCATAACGGTAGTAGTGGTGATCTGTATTTGTGTATACCGTTCTGGTTCTGTGTTTCGGAAGTAGTCATTACCGCCAGCTACATTCACAACTATCCAAATACAAAATTAAACGCTTTTCCCATTAGGTCAAAAACTACTGTCAATCTAGCTGGTAGTAAAGTTTGGTTTAATAAGGAATAATAGTTCACAAGTAGTTATCAATAGTATTAAACAATTACAAGTTCAGTAAGTTGTTTGCCATTGTGCTTTAAAAGCACACACCAAAGCTTACATACGTAGTAGATTATCATAACCCCTAGTGGACTGAATCTGTATCAGCTTCCAATAATTATGGATGACCAATTCACTCGCTGTAAAACGTGTTTTAATACTATTTATCTCACCTGTCGCATGTTGACACTATATTTTGAAAACTCCAAGTTTGTTTTGTTTGTGATTTCACCAGTTTCAAATGACAATACAATTCAGTATTAAGGCCATTTCTGTATCACTTAATTTACTTCATACGTCGAGATGGGTTTTGTTTCAAGTGATTCAATATGGCTGTAAACAGGAGTTTTCATCTGATTACTTCCTCTATCTAAGAATAACGGGGAGCAAAACTCTGAGTAGTCACGAGTTTTATCACATGATGAAACCCTAAATCAACAACAATTTTAATTTCGCACTAATTTGACATATTGGTTTTAAAACACATCGGTAGGAAAGGCCGTACCGAAAACTAAATTTCCTTTCTCTCATCGTGAATTCCCAGTTTTTATGCTTTTTGTTGGTGGTACGTGTTGAAACTAGACTTCAACGAGTGCTGAATGCAATCAAAAGGTTTACTGAGTTCTGTATAAACATTGTAAGATGCACATTTCCCTCATACTTCTTGAACCACCTCTTAATTAGCCTGGAAGTGTTTTTTTAATTTTATTTCAAAGGATGTAGAAAAAAGAGAATAAAGCGGAAGTATGGTTGTCTGGTACTGGCGCATATGACGGGACTGACCATATCACATCAGCAGGAAGCTCATTTCCTTTCGCAGTCGTCGTGAGGTCTAATGATGTATACAGACTAAGTACTAAGGTTCATTCGCTTCAAGACTACGTAATCAATAGACTGCGTTTTCAATTATCGCATGCGGGGTGAATTTCAGCTTTATTACCTTTATCGTTAGCACCAACTTACTTATAGTTAGTCCAGAAAAATATTTTTGTCTTTAAAGTGGTAAGTCTCCTATGGCCATAGAAGACAAGTAGAAAGTTGGGTTTTGTTTCACTTGCTGATGAGTGTATGGTATTTTAAGAAATGAAGAGCTGCATGGGTAAATATTTAGGTTTATTCGGATGGTTTCCGTACAGACAATAGATGAAGCAAGATTTGATTGTTTCATCTAAAACATGTAAACCAAGAAATGGGTTACACAAAGTTATAATGGTAGGATAGAAGTTCAGAACTGGTCTTCACCAACTCTGAAAGCGAAGTGGTTGGTGGTCTAACTACTTCACTCACTCGGGAAGTTGCATCAGTCTGAATGGGTTAGCTGCTAACGAAATCCTAGATGGAATACGAAAAACCCCTTTGGCATTTGCCAACTTGTATCATCTTTGACACGAGTAAGACGTCTGAATACCAACAAAGGCCGGGCACTGCAGTCCACTTTGTTCTATTTGACTAGGAAATGAACGTCGAGAAAGATGTTTATATCACAGGTATCTCCGTAGCACTACTCGTATGTAGTGGTACTATTTATTAGTAGCAATAGCTTATTTTATTACCAAGCTTCACTATTATGGATTTTTACAATCCACATGTTTTTATTCCTACTTGACACATACTCCGGTGATGTCCCTCTAGGAAAATAATGAGATGTCATTTGCTTAGAACAGTGGGCTACTTTTAAGTTCTCTCTCCCTCGATTCTTATGAGGGTCTGTCTATCACCGTTCAGTTTGAGAAATTAGGTATTCTACTAATCCTTATACAGTGCAACTAGAATGATGAAGTATAGTGAAAGTCTTAAAGCACTCATCCCACAACTAAAAGTATGGACTCAAGTGATTTGTCTGTTAATATGTAGGATGCAAACTATTCTAATAAGTGAGATCATTTTTTTCTTTTTACTGAAGATATGGGTTGCGCAACAGTCTTTTATTGGCCCCCATGCCAACAGCATCAACATCTCAGATTCTTGGCAACAATGAATCAACTGAACCCTTTACAAGCAACGTCTTTTCTCGTCGTGTCTTGAGTGGAGAATTCCAGATTGTAAATCCTTATCTTCTTGAGGATCTTACTAAATTAGGTTTGTGGTCAGACAGTCTCAAAGCAGCGATTGTATTAAACCAAGGATCTATACAACACATTGATGGGATTCCTGAAGAGTTGAAGCCTTTGTACAAAACTGTGTGGGAGATTTCCCAAAAAAAAATCATCGACATGGCAGCAGACCGAGCTCCGTTTATTGATCAAAGTCAGTCACTCAACTTGCACCTAGCCCAACCAAACTATGGGAAGATAACGAGTATGCATTTCTATGCTTGGCGAAAGGTATGTTACCTCCACTACTTATACCTCATAGATATTTTGCTTCACCTCATCTTTCATATTTGCTATTGCCAAAAATAAGATTGGTTTCTTACATGTATCACGTAACACTTTTCCACCTTAACTTTTAGGGTTTGAAAACGGGTATGTACTATCTTCGAACAAGACCTGCTGCTGATCCAATTAAGTTCAGTGTAGACAAAACAATTTTACGGGTACTGAGTGATTCTACCACAAAAACAAATGTACCTCCATCTACTGATTCCATTGATCAAGCAGTTGAAGCTATGGAGGAACTTCGAATAATTGAGGAGATACAGAAGCGTAACGCTATTGCTTGCAGTCTTAGTAATCCTGAGGGGTGTTTAAGCTGCCAAGGATAATATTGATATTACTTTTGTCTAACAGATTAATAAATGTGTTTACTTATTAAAAATGCAATATTTTATAAACACGAATGAGTCTTATTAATGTATTTGTGGCGGTGTTGTTGAGTGAAATCTGGTCTGGTAGCAACAATGCCCGGCTTCGCTGAAAGTCAGTGGTTCTTCGGTAAGAACGATGAGCACCGCGAAAACAACCTCTCGATTTGATTTCTCCATTATATTGGTACTTGTTTGTCAGTTTCCAACATGACATATAGTTGAGACTCAAATCAGAATCGCTAGCGTACCAGTACACATCATATGGTTTGCTTGCTGCTCCTGGAAATTGGTATCCTAATGTTAAATAAGAATAAGGCTTAAGCCGGGGATTTCTGATGAGTTGCCTTGAAATCCTGCGGCTTTTTCTTAAAATTCGAACATGAAGCAGTAGGACAAGTTTAATTTGCAGAGGCCTTAGTAACACCATGGTGCGCGCCTCAACTTACAACTTAGTGCACGAATGAGGAGGTGGTCACTGAGCTACCTTATGATATTTCTCCAGTTGTAGGTTGTATGGAGTCAACTAAAATAACTGGGTACTTCATGTACCTGGACCACTATCTGACCGAGGTCCTATGACAACTAGTGAAGTTGGGCTGCGAAAAGTCCGAGGACTGACAGATGGGATCACTAGTTCATGACCTGAGTTGGATTTCTACAGATGTGGAATCCCGACGCTTGATTACGACAAATAAAAACTAGTCAGAGATACAAAACCATAGCGGCACCTCGTCTGGAAATTTTGGAGAGCATTATCTTTCCGTATACTTCACAACTATATCGCTGTCGATCGGGTCATCTACGTATGCCGAGGGATTTACTTGAATACATCGGTAAGCGCATTTGGTTGTAACGGTAGTTCTGTGATCAGGTGGACACAATACGCGTATCGGAACGCCAGGTATATTCGTTGGACACGATTGTGTTCCGTTGGTCTGATTAAGGTATGGATCAATTCTCAGCAGGCAATTTTCATGGTGGGTGCTACTCATAGAAACGTACACTAGGAACATGAAGTAATAGTAGTCGACTGGTGAGAACCCAGAAGGCCAGTGAAGGGAAATATAGAAGGCAAGAGCACTATACACTAGAATGTCGAACAGAAGGGTTTTTGTGACTTTGTCTTAAGGTTTAGTGTTTTTGTCATTACCGACTGTAGGTTTTTTCACAAACAACCTCTGCTGCTTCATGGATATCGCTGCCTGTTTTTCGTATGAAATACTTTGGCTTGGATGTAGAGCTGTGGCTCACTGGTCCGAACCCGGCCTCAACTACAGAAGTTTGGTCAGCCAGGCAACATCATTAGCCCTTACAGGGTGCGTGGCTCACTGCATGAACGCGCATACAGTTGTTGAATGCATCCCAGTTTTTCTCTTGACCTCGACCCGCAGTGTTCAAGGATGGAGACACCATAATTTCCTGAAGGACTTGGAAGAAGTGGCTGGGGGTCAAAAAGCCGGCGGTTTTGCATCTTTCTTAGAGGTCGAGCGAAGACGACTTATGGAGCAGATGTCAAGGGAAGGGGCGGTTGGATAGTCCTGTGAGCCCAACTGGTGGCACAGTTCAACGGTCATGTGGAACGCAAGCCATGCAGGAATCCTAGTGCGAGGTCCCATCGGCAGTGAAACTTAGAAAATCTACGCAGTGCAGTATGAATGGAGAGTTACAAGCATAACTTCCTTGCGAGACAATTTGTGTAGCACGGCAGTCACTACTTTATAGTTGGGGCCTCAGAACGTAGCTCAACCAAGGCGTAGTAGAAAGTTAGCAACTGGTGGTAGGTTCCCAATAAGTGAATCTCTTGGGAATGGATATGAAAGAAATGCAACAGCGCCCTCCTTGGGGAAGGACAGGACACTGCCTCTAGGGGTGCTGGAGTTTTCCAAACTTGGAAGTTGTTTTTGGTTACCGTTAACACTAGGTGTTATTAGGTCGGTAGACTAATGCACGGAAATTGTTCGTTTAGTGGACACAGATAGGTCATGAAGGATTATAGAGCAATGTGCTATATCAATTCAGATCGCAGGTAGCAATGCGTCAGGAGTGACAAGAATGTGCTGTTAGAATAGATCAACAAATTTGCAACCTGTCTGTCGCGACATCCGGCCAATCACGCTGGGTGCCGACTTTTCAGAACTAAACGCAGTCATTGATACAAAAAATAGAAGCGGAGGCTTTATTGGAAACATTGGTTAGTAGTGATGAAACTATTGAAACAAAGCCGCTTCCTCCTATTCGGTATTCGTGTGTAGTGTTCCTGCTCTCTATATTTCTCTGCAATAACCTGAATGTTTACTAGTCGGCTGTTATCACTCCGTGTTTTTCGATGTAGAACTAAGTATTACTGACATATTTCTATAGGTAGCGTCCACAGTTTCAAGTAACTTTAAACCTATTGTGATAAGAACGTATGTAACGCCCTGGAGTCCACCACATTACCACTAATTGCGGTAGTGCCGCAACTACAATTCCAAGAAGCATTACTTTCAAAACCACCCAAACACTGTAATTGGCAAATGATTCTCCTTAGAACTAGTTTGTTAATCCATGGACCTGATTATCAACCATCAGTTACAGGTCGAGAACGTCGTTGTTGCTTTACATTTGAAATAAAACCGACTACGAATTAGTCCATTAAACACTAGGGAAACAAAACAATAATAAAATAAGATAACAGTGCATCTCTTCAACAGCTATAATGCAGAAATACACCACAAACAACCAGTTTATAGGATCTCCATACAATCACTCAGTCATATATTAAAACAATAACACATCCACTGAAATAAGGTAGTTTATAGGCGCATTTTAAATAAGTGGCGGAAATTATGTTCAGCTTTCTGTTGACAGTGGATAGGTCAAAGAATGGAAAAGAATTATACTGACGTTTTTACAAAAGGAAAACGGTAGTACTCAGTCCTATTAAAACAAAGTTTCAAAAGCTTTATTTCCACAGTTTCTTGATGGATACATTCCTCTCAGAATCTTTCTGCATCACCTGTAAGAATATAAAGCATAAAAATAAGCGACATTTAAAACCAAATACAAAAGCTTTATTCCAAGGAGTAGCAAAGAAATCCAAATTCAGAGCAATGATGTTTAGCATATGCATTCCTGAAGCTCATAAATGTAGTCTTACAACTAAACTACGGGATATGTTTGAAACCGAACACCAAAAACTAACATACAGTCATAATTACACAGGGAGCCAACTTCATCATATGAAACAAAAGATCGAGATCATTTATGTCGACGCATTCTAAGTTTAAAGCAACTTTTAGACAGTATTTCTGATTCAGATAAAGCCAGACGCAAACATACAGTAGTGTAGCTATGGCAAATTAAACATTCGTGTGCGAAATATGCACCACGCATTTGACGCTTGGAGCCATTGGGTCTTTTGCTGCTCCATGAATTGTCAAGTTAATGCAGAAACAGGTTAGTGGTCACGGAATATCAATACTACTGTATCGATGGTAATCATGTTCAATCATTTTCCAGTTAAACCCTTGAGATTATCTGGCAGTCAGTTACTGTGATTTCACAACAGAACAGTAATGCCCTAAATCGAATATTTAATATCGTATCACCTCATACACGTATATAGAAAAGTACATGATCCTACATCATATTGGTCAAATAACATGTAAGTACATGCAACACTGCGATGTCTTTTACTTATAAAAACAGATAAGTACGATATAGTGAGACCCCGCTGAGAAACATTTATTAGAGTTAACATTCAATTGGTAGAAGTACTGGAGAAATATCGGGGAGCAATGAAGAAGACAAGCAAAACAGCAATAGGAACCTATTCTACAAATCAGAATAATTAACGATTTAGATCGCTCTGATTCACAAATGCTAGCTTGTAACAACTATTCCAAGTTTTAAACCTCGATTATCGTCTTGAGAAACTTCTGAAATTAAACCATCATGTCCCCTTTGCACTTTCAGTTTGAAAAAGTCTTCTCAACTTTAGGTTCTGACTGCATTTGACAACCATATTCAGTTATGTACCTAATTACTTATTCGGTAAATACAGACTTGGTTTATTTATCTTTCAGTCAGGCTTTATGGTCGTTTATTTATGCAAACATTCGGGTGCAGACAATTCGCTGGAACTAGCACTAGATCAGAGTCCGAGCAGGTAAAGACTCGGAAATCCTTCACCGATTTTCTCACTTGATAGTTGATAGCAATGTATCCCTCAGTGGCTTGATGTCCGCAAACCCCAAGTCCCACTTTGTGCTGAGTCCTAATCAAGAACAACTGACTGTCAGAAAAAGTTGTAGGTGAACTCCGTCGAAATAGAATTCCGTAAGTACTCCAAGATGCCTTTTCGATTAACTTAGCTTCCTGAACTGAGTGTCACCTGCTGATGTCTTTCACTAAAAAATTGCCCTTTAAGAGCGAAATCGACAGCTTTTTGTAGGGCTAACACTTTAAACTGTTTAAACCACAACCAGAAAGTGCGTACGCATACAACAAGATAAGGCATCGACATATACCACGAGCCTTTCTAGCTATTACGGATATATTCTGGTGGACAGTGCACAAATGACTGTCAAATGTAATAAAGTCAAGCAGTGAGTCTTGTGCTGCACAACTAAAGTTCAGAGACAAGAAATAATCACGTAACCTTCGGACACCTATAAAATGAACTTCACTAACTTACCATACTGGCAAAGTGAATACAGAGAAAAAGACAACATCGACGAAGAACCTCGCACAGAAGTGCATCGGTTCGGGTTACTCCACTTTCAACACCACGCAAAGAACATATATATAGAAAAAGACGAATACTATAGCAGACAAAGCTGTATCGGAGGGGAAACAATCCGAAGATAAAGCCTACTGAAAATACCTAAACTTTGATAGAACGTCTGCGCCATTGTGACTGATTTTCAGTCATGTTATCAAGGGTCTCCCACCATTGTTTCTTATCATCCAGATGACCCTAACTAAGTTGTCTATACACCCTTACAAGGCTCGGATTAACAGTTACAGACTTCGCGCACTGGTGCCACATCGTTGTCTGGTCACCGTGAATCCTCGTCCAACCTAATTCAACTTCTAGCAGCAAACGTCGAGGTAGGTGGTGGCTCAGCATGTCCAAGTCACCTCTTTCCCAACCCCATCGATCGTTTTCCCTTTCCTTCCCCAATACCTTTCGCCTAACCTTAGTATTACGATTATTCCACCTTACGTAAACAATGCTACAGAGACACCTATGGTCAAAAGCCTGTAGATTCTTCATACTTACTTTTAACGCCCATGTCTCAGCCATATAACAGGATAGAAAAAACGGTAGTGCAATATACTCATCCTTTAATAAGTAATCGGATATCCCGTCAGTCGACGCCAGAGACGATGTTCGACGTATCCTAGCACTCCACCCCTATGCTCAAACTTGGACTACCTGCAGACCAGCCTGAAAGCATCGTTTCACATTTGACAGGTGCGAAACACATGCCAAACGTACTGAGATTCGTGCTAAAATGAGTTCGGAGGACCTCGCAGTTTGTCAGCGTCTTCATCTAGCAGGACAATATCGTCTGCTTACTCCAAGTCAACCAGATGCCCTCCAGGGAGTAGATCAATCCATATGAAGTAAGAGGTACCTAAGGTTATGTCCATTAGTGCATTCATAACGAAACTATACAGGAAAGGTTACAGCGGGCAACCCTATAGGACACCACTAGTTTTCGTTAATTCTGATGACAACTCTATACAAGACATTAAATGGTTGTATGAGTTTGCGTAGACACTTTGATTAAAGTTATATAGGTCTCAAGAAATGGCTAATTGATTTGTCGTTAAGATATGATACTTTTCACAGTAATTAAAAGCCGCGGAGTTGTAGGCTGGATGTAAAGGTAACAAAGCAATCGGAACCTTTTAAAAACGATACTAACAAAATTTACACTAAAATGAATACTGTTAATGATGAATTAACTTAAGTTTTCCACCTAAAAATGCCACTACAATGTATAGTTTAATGCACAATATCCAAAAGAAATAGAAATAAAAGGAGAGGACATGAATTTATGGAGAACAATGTTGAACGAGATGTCAGCAACTCGGACCATGGATGTGTGCTTTGTTTGTGAGACACGCATACAGGACCCACGTGCCGTTATTCACTTAACCTCTCCCGGCCAATCTGGTGCATCTGCAAAATTTATCTTTCGAGTGTCTGGAGATTTGACGGCTGGCTCTCGTGGTCTTGCAGGTGCAGGTATAGCATTACGCACTAGGGTGGAAAACATTACAAGACTGGATCCCAGTTGATAGTCACCCATGAGCTGTTTGACTGATTGGCACAGAGAAAATTAAAACGAACAGTTGGACTCGCTGTTGTCTCTTTGTAATCTCTGCTTACGCACCCACTGACTGTAATTCGGATGAGTTCTACCGAAAACTGTCTAGCCTCCATGTGAAAGCCAAACGTTCAGACGTGGTTGTTGGCACAGGTGATTTCAATGAACAAGTGGGTAGGTTGAATCAGGCAGAAAGACACCTAGGCGGCACTTTCGGAATCCCAGCTCAACGAACAGATAACGGTTATCGCCTACTACAACTGTGCTCAGATAACCGCTTATTTCTAGCTAGCACAAACTTCAGACATAAAGAGAGACATTGTTTGACGTGGCGTCCACCGAGTTCAACTCAGTGATGGATGCAGATACACCACTATGCTATCAGTCATCACCGGTGAGTCAGTGGAAGACTGTCCTTCTGCAGTATACGTTTGGATAGTGATCACGCGTTGGTTCGTGCATGTATATGTCGGTGTCTTAATGAATGTAGAAAAACTTTAGCAACAAGACTATTACGAGTGTAGCTAGACAATGAGAGCACTAAATGTATGAGAGTCAAATATGACCCGCTGTAACTGGTCTCAACCACTGATTATCCCAGTCTTCAAGGAAGGCAAGAAGTCCTCTTGTGATAAACAGAGAAATCAGCCTAACGAACTTAGTCTCCAGGATCCTAGGTTCTATAGTCATTAGACGCCTGAATGTAGCTTGGAAACAGCAAGCTTGAGAAAGCCAGGTAGGCTTCAGACGTGGCCGTGGGTGTATCGACCAAATATGCACACTCCGCCAGATTCTGGAACACAGGCGCGCTTACCCACACCCGACAATAGCTGTATCCCTTGATCTAAAGTCGGCATTCGACTCCGTCGATCGGGAAGTCTTATGACAATGTCTCTCAATGGAAGGGGTACCGAGTGAATACACGACATTATTGAAAGCCCTTTACTCGAACACCTGTGGGCATGTTAGAGTCTATGGTGAGATATCGGGTGAGCTGTGTACGTCGAGTAATGTCTGTTAAGGATACATACACTCCATATTATTTAATTTTGCCATAAATGTTCTTATGGAGGTCTCCCTCTCGCTACCTGATTACACAGAGGTTGACCCAATCACGGGAGAATTTTCGTTCGACCTATAATACGATGACACAGTCCTGTTAGGTGAAGACGCTGACAAGATGAAGTTTTTGGACACACTGAGTGGCAATTTGAGTGTTTGAGGTGCAATTCTCGCCACGATAACGCAAATTGTTGCTCTAGGACTGGTCTTCAACAATACCCCGGCTCACAATGGGGTGCACTGAACACTTCACCTACCTTGGAAGTCGGATCAACCCCAGAGTTTCAGTGGCCGACGAAATCTCGGCATGGATACAGAAGGCTCAGTTGGCTTTTGCCAACATAAGTCATCCGTGGTGTCGCCGCGATATCTGCTTGTCTATTAAGGGTCGAGTGTACTGTGCTCCAGCCCACTTTGCTATACTGTACGGCTATGAAACATTGTCCTTAAAGGTAGAAGACATAAGAAGGCTTCACGTGATGGTCACTGTTGCCTTTGTAGCTGTGCCGTGGTGTCACCACGTCAGTAACGCAGTCAGGTGTAGAGTTTTACGAGGGATAGGGAGGTCAGTTGATTAGGCCGTGAACCTTCGACTGAGATGGCTCGGACATGTGTTACGTATGCCTCGCCGCACAATGTTGGCTGAAGTAAGTTTGGGCTGTAAAGAAGCTCGGGGCAGCCAGACTAAAACATGATATCGATGCATGAATTCCTTGACTGTTCGTTTGAGCCAAGTAGGGCGACGCAGACTAGCTGGCTCGGGCCCGGGAGACAAGAGAAAGCAGTGGTTGGAGACTCTATGTGATATGGATCAAAGTCGATGTCAGTAGTGCACATGTATTTACACATTATTCTCACCATAACCTCTATACTTAATCTCATCATTTTCTCATTCCTACTTCCCCTCTCTTTCTACTTCCTTTGACTGATTTTTCTTTTTCTTATCTTCCATTTCATTACCTAACTACTTGATGTGCTGATATGAGGTGTGGCAACTTGGACTGTTATGCTTGGTCCCAAGTTGATTTTGATGTTGAGGTAACTTTAATTAGGAATAAACAGACACTGGTAAATTAACTGCTTAGAATTAATAGGCTTAGTTAGAAATATCACAATATAAATAACTGAAATAAGTTTACCTTCGCAACAGCCAATTCAAAATCTTCTTGAGTAACATGAACCCGACGTTCTCGCAAAGCATACATACCAGCTTCTGTACAAACGCCTTTGACTTCTGCACCACTGGCACCAGGCATTGACTCTGCTAATTTACGTAGGTCAATATCTCTTGTTAGGTTCATCTTTCGAGAATGTATTTTCAAAATATCCAACCGTGCCTCCTCATTTGGTGCAGGAAATTCAATTTTCCGATCAATTCGACCTGGTCTTAAAAGTGCTGAGTCAAGTATGTCGATACGATTCGTAGCCATGATAACCTACAAAGTAAAACAGAGTTCTCTAACATTACCTTGATGTTCTGTTTCGGTTCAAATCCATCCAACTGGTTAAGCAGCTCTAACATTGTGCGCTGAACTTCACTGTCACCTCCAGTGCCGCTTTCTAATCTGGTAGATCCGATCGAGTCGACTTCATCCATAAAAATAATGGAGGGTGCATGCTCTCGTGCCATAACAAACAACTCGCGAACCATTCTAGCTCCTTCACCAATAAACTTCTGAACAAGTTCAGAACCACTACAAAATAAAAGACTTATAAAGTGGGATTACCTGACACGAATAAAAGTACATTCTGTATGATGAGCAACAGCACGGGCTAGTAAGGTTTTGCCGGTACCAGGGGGTCCATATAACAGAACGCCTTTAGGCTGTGCTATTCCTAGAGCATCAAAAAGCTCAGGATGTTTTACGGGAAGTTCAATAACTTCCTTAATCTCCTTAATCTGTTTGTCTAAACCTCCGATCATTTCATACGTAGAGTCCGGAACCTTTTCTACCATCATCAACGAAACCAGGGGATCCACTTTACTAGGCAGAATCTTGTGTAATGTGTAACTATCACTTCGTAGAGCTACACGGCAATTTGGTGATATCTGAGATATCTCAATGTTCTTGTCAATATCTACGACGTATTTTCCTTCAGGTTGCACCTTTACCAACACTTTTTTCTTGTCCATCGCTTTTATGACTTCTCCAACAAACGATCCTTGTTCCTGGAGCAGTTGCAGCTCTTCCCGAAGCATACGAACTAGGATCATTATAAGCACTGAATATGCACCTACCTTTAGCGTTTAGTTCATTTCGTTGGGCCTCTAATCTTCGCAAATTCAGCAATTTCTCGGTGTAAATAAACTGATGCTCATCTATTTTATTCATATAGTAATTTTTAATTCCATCAGTCGGAGTAGGAGAAGGCTCCAACACTCCTTTCTCCGATTCACGCTTAACTTTCCTAGACGGTTCTCCAGACAAATATTTCGGTGATCGACGTGGATACGACTCAACCTCCTAAATTCAAGCGTTATAAGTAAGATTATTTGGACGTTTAAACTAAGTAAACTTATGTGCTAAATCACTTACTAGAGCAGCCATTGTGTTCAGCAACAGATCAGATGACCCGCTAGGTAGTTTGGTTGCGAATATAGGTAGGTACTGACCTACATAAATTCTAACAACTGTTTTGGTGATTATCCAATCTCTTTGTTATAATATTATTTCATTTCAAAATGACTGCCTAAACTTTGAAACTTAAACTGTTTAAATGCACTAAAAGCAACCAGCTTTAAATTCGGGTTGAGTAATGTGTGCTCTACATATTCCTTAGTGGTAGGTGTTATGAACTAGCTGGCCACTTTATTTTTGCAGTTGGCAGCTGTTTAAAATTTCGAACAGACCTTGGTTACATGGTTCACAGTTGGTGTAAACGTTTATCATTCCCGTCTAATTAGGCTGCAGTGAAAGGTAGTAGTATTGTTGTAAAGCCCATGTAACTTCACTCAAGTTTCTTATATATTCAGTATCTTCTTATGGGCTAGTATAAGCCAGCTGATTTCTCCGCACTCGCTCCTACGTCTTGCTGAACGGTTCCGTGTCTACGGTTGGGTGTCGATTAAATCTGTAAGAACTGTGTCGCTGTTCAAAGGACTGGGGTGAGGATGGGTTTCTCGGGCGTCGTGCCATCAGTCAGCTGTTCAGGCCAGTTGTAAAAGGAGGATGGAAAGATGCTCAGAGAAATCGAGAGAGGGGAGGTGCGTGAAAAAAAGATGAGTGTAAGGAAGCGGAAAGAAGAAAAGGAAAAGTGAAGGTGGATTCATTGAAGATAAGTGACGGAGAGGACCTTATTAAACAGTAAGAGATCACAGAGCCAGAAAGGAAAGAAGGAGAAAGTAAGATTATAGGGTGGGTTATGGGGATAGAAGCTAGAATTTTAAAAGTGGTGTATGGTAACTGGAGCAGAGGTCTACGGAGAAGTATAAGGTAGAGTCAAGTTCGCGATCACAGTGGTGGTACAGGAGATGCGGTATAGAGTTAGGTGCACAGGGGTTGTGGGAGTAAGTTGTATCAACCTATTCCATATCCCAACTGGATGGATGCCAGCTGTGCACTCCCAGGTAGCTTTCCAATCTCTTTTTGAGGCTGTCAACAGAAGGAGCAGTAGCAACCTCGGCTCGCAATGCGTTTCAGCGGCTGCATACTCACATGGAGGAAGAGTATGAATGCGCACGGGTTTTCACTTTTTGGTGGACGATTCTCCACCGGTTACCAAGAAGACGTCCACAGTGACCCTTCGGTGGGATTCCACTGTTCGAGCCACTTGGATTACCTGACACTTGGCAAGCCGCTATCAAGTCTCTACACAGCTAAAAAAAGTAGAGCCCTGGGTTCTGCAATCTGTTCTCATAGGGCTTTCGTGGCATTCCCAAACACCTGCTGCTCGCCTCCGCACTTTCTCGAGAATGCCCACGTTCCTCTTCAGGCAGGATGGTGCAGTGGCGGTGCGTATCTCCAAATGGGGTCATATATAGGTTCCGTATAGCTTAGAAGAGTACCGGAGTGATGGTGTCTAGTTGTCTGCGTGTGAATTGCAGTACTGTGTAGGCTCTGAAGGCGCCTCCCGGGTAGTTTGGGCTTAACCGGGCCTAGAGATCAGTGCTGGTTCCGGGCCTTTCGCCGCAGTGGTGTGGGAAAGCCGCGTTCCACAAAGAGAGTAGAACATTTTCTGGGAGTGAGCGATGCGGAGGAACATGGTTCGGCATTTGTCTAGATTAAGTGCTGCCAGTCATCACTTAAGCACTCTGTAGGCCATCTGAAATCACTCTGTAGTACGCTTGATTCCACTTTCGATGTCAAGGCTCTCCATAACTTAACATTATCAGAAAAAGGTTAACTTGCCGATCTGAGGCTGAATGAGAAGTCATCCACGAGGAGGAGGAAAAGTAGCAGATCCAGAATTTTGACAAATACCATACATACCAATATCACACTAATGTTAAAACCAATTTTATTTGTGCAGATTAGATGCCTAACAACTCGATCAGTTACATACTTTTGAACCTTGTGGTTTGACGTTTAAGTTTGCATGTCGTTGTCATGCGTTTGGTTGGCACCTGAAGGTTGAGGTAATACCCGCTACACTCTGGTCACACAGGGGTGGCATTCACTGGCGTCACCCGCGTCCACACCAGAACGCAATTGGAAATGGTACCGTCGAGTATACAGGGCGCAAAAGAATACTCTGAAACTGCCTCATACAAATGGTTTCGAATGACTGGTAAAGGAAGAGAATAAGCTTTTGCCGAATTGGCTTCCGTGTCTGGGTGCAGTGGACCTTAATCCCCTCCGGTTGTTGGCCTGTGTACGAACGAAGAAAGGGAAGAAGAAGGGGGTTACAATGAGAGGGGTGAGTTAGGCGTGGTTGAGCCCCCGCTAACATCCTGGATATTCCGTCTGCCGAAGAGAGAACTGGTTTACCTCCTAGCGTGGGAGGAAACAGACCCCCGGAATGCGTTTGCTAACCACCATCGTGCGGCAGTGCGAACCTTCCGGACAATTACCAACGGTAAAAACACAATTAGGGTAAACCGCAATCACAGCGATGCCGGAAAATATGTTATACGCCAACCGTTGGGAGGTAGCTCGGGCAGTCTTGATGGTAATCAGTTGCACTAGAAACGTCCTCTACGAGTGCTAATAGTTAGTAGTTCCCTGCAGTCTTCAGGCACCTAAACTTGAAGGTGTGCATCTGCTAGAAACAACTTTGTGAACAGTTTCTCGTCGCCGAAGACAGCAAAACGGATCCTTCAAATGCGACAATAAGTGATCGTAAGGTTCAGGTGCGGTTTTGAGACCGGTGGAAAAACCAGCACATATGTGTAGCAAACTGTTAGTTCTCTTGACCATCACAAATGGAGCTTTCCAGGAGGAAACGAAGCCGGGGCTTCTTGTTCCTTGAGACGCTGGCGCTTGGAGTCGACCAGCAGAATAGAAGTAAGAAGAACAGGTTGCTTCCGGCGGAAGGCTGGTTTGGCGCTCGGCTGTTGACGTAAAATGCCAGGTGTTGCGCGCTGACCGAGATCATGCTGCTAAACATCTGTAAACTTTTCGACGACCTCTAGATATTGGGTTAGCGGGGCTGTTTGAACCTGGTCACATGGAGTTTGAGCGGTACGCCCAACAACCGAAAGACGACCAAACCAGTCCGAACCCGATAAACTTAGGTTAGCTTCGGTAACATGGCGTGTCCACCAACCGAACTAGTAATGAAGACGTTACGTATCAGCTTACCGGACGATAAGAAGAGACCACAACATGCAGCTACTATGGACTTAACCGTTCTCTGCATGAGCAGTGAACAAATTTTGCCCCAGGGCGCGTCAGAAGTGGTGGTAATACGTGATGAAGTGCACAGCTGCAGGCTCACCGGATGATTATTGATCAACGCATTACGGCAATTTCTGTGTGATACCTTGGTGCCAATGAACGTGGCCACGATGCTCATGGATATGTTGCTTGTCGCCAATTAATTGTATGACCGATGTTCCCTAGGTGAACCAGACGTTTATAGGTGACGTCAGTTTCCGCAGCCGTGTTTATGTTCAACGACGTTACACTGAACGCAACGGTGCTGTCTGTGTGAGGACCTGACGTAATACCAGGCGTCGCGAAGCACAATGGTTAGGGTGTTGTATTCTGAAATGGTGGAGAAGACTTGTGCCTCAGAATGAGGAGCGTGGTAGTGTGGCGTTTTCTGATCTTTGGTATTCTGTTGCCAGTGTTTCATTACTAGGCTTAGTAACGTCTTCAACACCGACCTCACAAAGAAGTGAAGCATAATCGAATATTACACGAATCTTTGGACAGTCTTCTCATTGACCTTGGGCGCTATCCAACTATAAGTTGGGGAAGATACTTTACACCACATCCTAGCCTCTGGCCGCAAACTTCCTTCTGTCAAGCAACTAGATATTCATAGTTGGAGCGAAACCGTGTTATTTATTGTCGTCATACTGTGCATTACCATCGATTTGTCCGGACAATTCGCCCCTGCTTGGTGGGTAGCCGCTTCTTAAGAACCAGATTGCTCATTGCGTCAGTGTCCATATTTCTGTTGATTACCTTTTCTTTTGAATGCCTCTGGAAATCCTTCTAGGAATTCTCTTGTGGCTTTTTATTCTTCTGTTTGGAGGATTGCCACCTCATCCCGTTAGAATTTGTAGTCATGCTTGACTGGATGAGCCGAAATCAAGGAAGCCGTGTCACGTCAACTTACTGCTAGTTGGTGTTCATGAATTCCATGAGCAATCCAGTGGTTAGATTGGCCAACATATTGTTTTGAACAATCTTTTCAATCGACTTTGCCGATACTATTTGTCCTGTCTCCCTTTGGCAATTCTCTGGCTTGCACAACATGCCGCGTGGTGATTTCCCTGGTTTATGTGCCACTTCGATTCCGAACTGACGAAGCAACCGGTTGATCCTCTCCGAGATATCTTTAGTGCGAGGTGGCTCAACGTGCCTACTGATTTAAGGCAGTTACCCTATCTTCTGTCCTACTGTCAAACACCTTCGGATAAAGTTGAGTGGCTAATCTATTGACTTTGAAAGCTGTACACGTATTTTTCTGCGCCTTCCCTCAATACTTCAGTGTTGCAATGTGTTTTGGCTCTTGAGAATAATGTTCGTACACAATATTTCTAACGGACTATAAGATGAATGCTGTTCTAGTTCAAAACTTGATCAATATGTGTTTTTACTTTACACTTGATTTTGTAAAGTCCTGTCGCATGTTCTGGTGATGAGGGCATCTAAGAATGGAGTTTTTCACTGGATACCTTCTCCTTTATGAAGCGAATTCCTTCAAATATGTGGTTGATTGGCTTTAACGTTTCTTCTACTTCACCTTCCTTCAGAAAAATTATACGTGTGTTTTCAAAGTACCGAATTCAGATTTTTGGGTTGATGAGAGAGATAGTAGTTGATTCCAGCTGCTGCATCACTGCTTCACAAACCAATCCTGATATCACCGTTCCCACAGGTGTCCTTTTTGTTTGTTTGTTTGTAAATCTTCTTATTGCATTGTAAATAGGTCCTCAGACGTAGATCGATCAACCCTATCAGGTTTTGAACTATGAGCTTCGTATAGTCAGAAAGAGTTTGTTCGTTCTTCAGAAGAATATCCACAGTCTCCCTGGCTAGACTTGAGTCAATTGAAGTGAAGAGTGAAGTCACACCAGAGGATATCATCTCTTCATCACTGTCT